TTTATCCTGCTGTGTTTGCTTCAAAAACGGTTTAACTGTGTTGATTAGCTTCTCCATTTATTTACTGTTTATTTTCGGGACCTGCCCTGCTGTTCGACCCACAGTTATGCAAATCACATTCTGGATGCAGGTCAGCTGATCCCAGAAACTCTGTGTGCAGCAGCTTCATTTCATCTGTTTACTGAACTTTATGACAACATGAAGACTATTAAGTGTTGGGTGACCATATTGGAAATTAATATTAAAAACTAAAAGCTGCAAAAAATATATATTTTCAAACTATTTATTGGCAAATTTAGTCTAATAATTGAAAACATGGTTTAAATAAGAAATATGAAACAAATAAAATAAAACACATACAAAGYAGAACACAGCTAAATGTATCAAAATTATGTCTTTGTAATTTTAGAATTTTCTGAGACAATGATTTTTGGTTTTTCTTTTTTTTTTCCAGGAAGAGGTTTTTATTTAATAGAGTTTTTGGACCAAAAAATCTCAATATATCGCCTTGCTTACAGTATCGCAATATATCGGGATATATCGTATTGTGACCCCTCTGTCTTGGCATCGTCTCGCCAAATTCTTGACAATACACATCCCTAGTGAGGACTCTGGATGACTGTTTTAACAACAGCTGAGACTTTTGTGAAAAAAAATCAGAGTCCTCATAAAAAAATGATCAAAGGGTGTGTCACTGTAGTCTTCTGCTGCAGCCTTGCTTCAGTTGTTCCCTCTTCAGGGGTCTCCACAGTGAGTCATTTGCCTCCGTCTCACTCTGTCCTCACTCCAGCTACCTCCATGTACTCTCCAACTGCATCCATTTATCCTCACTTTGTCTTTTTCAAGACAGCTGCATCCTTCATCCTAACATCCTTCTACCAATGTACCCGCTGTTCCTCCTCTGGATAAGTCCAAACCATCTCAGTATGGCCTCTTTAACTTTTTCTCTCAGTTGTTCAACCTGTCGTGTACCTCTGATGGTCTAATCTTTGCCATCCTTGTTACTCTCAAAGAGAAACTCAACATCTTGCAACAGCGATTTGTGAATCCTACTAACTACAATTTGCAAGATGTGGCACTAGAATAACTAGATACTGTCCATTTGCCACTTTTAAACCTGCACGAGGTAAATGATAATTGAAATATACTTCTATGGAGCCTTTTCTAGCCAAACTGGCACAATCTGCGCCCTCATTTATAGGGTTCAGTGTCTTGTCCAGAGACACGGTTATATGACTCCATACTGGGAGAAAACAAACCTCCAACTCTCTTGGTTAGAGAACAACTGCAATAAACACTGAGCCACAGTCACCCCAAACTTGTCCCAATGGTGGCAAACATTCAGGCTATTGATTAAAACAAATAAAAAGCACCAACTTAAACATGTTTTTTTAATAAACTGTTTGTTTTATTCTTTCGTAAACATACATCAATTATGTGTGCCGATGTAAACTGTCTCAGGCAAACTCACCTATGGCCAGTCTAGTGGGCTTTTTCTTAGGTGGGTGTCCAGAGCCAGAGTTATTGTCATCTTCCTTCTGAGCATAAAAATAGGATGTTATGAAAATATGTGAGATGTGCAAGACATTTACCTGCATGACATCAAGAGGTTGAAGTTGTGAAAGTTTACCTTGGCCTTACGAGTCCGGGTGATGTGCAAATAAGCTCTCTGACCGGTCCGAGCATGGTGTCTGTCCACGTACTGACTGCCAAAACCCAGGAAACTGTTCATGCACATATACAGGCCTCCTTCACTCTCCTGTAAAGTAAGCACATGGATATAAAATGTGACAGCCTTAACTTCTTTACAATCTTGTCACAATATAATATTTAAAAAATGGAACCTGTCCGTGCATCTTAGTGAGATCAGCTGGTATAATAAACACAACTACTCTACTTTAGCTCTTCTAACAGCTAGCTACCGTTTACTGCAAAGCAACTAATGTTAAGGTTTGTCATCTAAGTTCGTAGTAAGCCATGAATAAAATGACTACTATGTTCTAATAAGCTAGAATTAAGTTATTAGCATTTCAGTTGTGACAAAATAATTGCTTTCTGATTTGCAGATAGCTAAAAGAGCAAGTGCAGCTAAGTTTCCATTTACAATGCTAAATTAGCTTAGCTGGACGCTAGCTTATCAGTTAGCCGAGAGAGGGAAATATGTTTAGCCAATTTGTCAAAGTGGACCAAAATTATATGCCAGACTGAAGTCAGTGTGACTAATGTGATAAGAAAAAAAATCACTGCTTCTTTGGTTAGCTAAACATGTTATTTATAAAAGAAAAGGCTCACCGGCGAGGAAAATGACAGGGCGCATTCATCTTTGTGGACACGGTCTCCCGGCTTTGGAACACGAATTGTGGACAAAACCGACATCAAAACATCACCAACATCCGCCATCGTAGACCCACTAATTTTGCTACTCAATATGGATTTTTGTTCTTATGAATTTGTCCACTGAACCTTCAGATTACCCGTCTGTTGTCTAGCCTGCCTGCTACCGTCTGTTTGCCTGAATGAAATCATGAGCCGCTGCCTTGTGTTGAGGGAAGGCCGAGCGCGAGCCGTTTGTGGCAAGCCAATGTGTCATATAATACTAAAATTCAGTCCAAGACAAAATAGCTATCTGTCAGTGTTGTATAAAGTACCTCAAAGTGATACTTGAGTAAAATTACAAGTATCTTATCATAAAAATACTTTAGTAAAAGTTAAAGTCTTCTCTACTTGAGTAAAAGTCTTAAAGTATCTGATATATTT